TGAATGGCTGATCTCGCTTTCCTCGATTGGCAACATCACACGGTCCGTACTCTACTATTATACTTTCTAGTAACGTAATATACTGCAAAGGGGGGAAAAAGATCCTCGAAGACACAGTCAAATGCTCCACTGTAATGCCCCCTGCGATTTATTAAAGGGTCCTACTTCGGTGAAGGAAGCCGGCGCTGACTCCCACGGGCATGAATCTACCGCGATGACGGGAAAGGTGAATAGAAGGAGTCGGAATAAATACAAGAGACGATCCCTTTATTTACGCCAACGGAAATTACATCTACGGTTTTACAAGTACAATGGTGAGCGCGTTCGCTCAATCCACAGAACGCGACAGCAGGCGGCGAATAGGAGCGTAGTCGCTCAACTATCATACGCGACGAGTCTAGAATACATAGAAGCGGATTCGCTCGACTATCAACCGCGACAATTCAATTCGCGGTATTGTACCGGGCGAGAGCTGGTACGTGAGAGAGAGATTCGCGAAATCAAGTAGAAACAAACTTACCGGGTAACTCCTCCCGCGGCTCGCTGGTGGAGAGCCGGCGTCGGCGGAATCGTAGTCCAGCCGGCAATGGGGCTCGTCGGATCACCGGCGGTGGCTGGTTGGCAGCTGGCGGCCGGGATCGGCTCCACGATCGTCTGATGATGATCGCCGGGGGGGGGGAGCTGCTCAAACAGCAGCCGGAGACTCGCCACACAAGGGGGCGTCCATAAAGGACGTCCACTAATTTTTTGTGTAACTGAAAGCACCCCTCCCTTTTGTCACACCTGGTCACATTTTTTAATCCACCCCCGTAAAAGGACGTCACAAAGCTATTGAAACCCCCTTAATTTTTCTAACTTGAAAATAGTTTTATAAAAAAAATAGAATTTCACTTATATTATCACGTATATTATTCAAAACAATATTAAAACATATTTTTACAAAACAGTATTAAATAATTTTTAATAAATACATTTTTAGCTCATTAAACATATTTTAAATAATTTTTGATAAATAAATTTTTATTCTTGAGTCCAGGGGTTGGTTAACCATTCAGAGAAGGATGGAATTACTGGCATTTCAGTAGTCTCAATAACTGGAGATCGTTCTTCAGAAGTTACATCTTCTTCTTCTACCCATTCGATATTTTCAGCTCCGGTTTCCTCATCTTTAATGATACATAACAACTCCTCTGTATGATTCGTTTTTCGAACAGAAATGACTTTTTCAGGTTTTATTTTCTTAATGTTTTTTTGTTTTCCGTGTATTTTCCTATGATTTTTAACTGACTTGATAGAAGCATGATATAAACCACATGCTGAACAAACTCTATCTGAAATTCGAGATTGTACAGTTGGACAGTACATATCATATAGAATTTGAGAGAAGGTCTTGTTTTCAATATCAATATTCAGTGCCAATCGGAATAGAAGAGGACAAAATTTTTTTTTGTTTTCATCGAACGGTGGTATATGTAGTGCTGAAGGTGATTGCTTTATGGGCATTGGAGGAGGTAGAAATCGAGATTTTAAAAGAAGCCGTAAACTACTGTGCCAAGGACCGCAGCATTCATCGTCATCACATTTGACGATTTGCAAAAAGTATTGAGACTCTCGAACGTGTTTACTGTACCAAGCAGCTTCAGGCATCTCTACTAATGATACATTTTCTGGGTCGATGTACTTTGCGACTACAGGATAGTCATCAATTATAACATCGCCCCAAATTTCTGCAAGAACACCACCTGCATATGCAAAATTTTTCAATTCCAATGCTTGATCCTTTGTTTTATTACTGCTATCAAGGTGAGTTCCAAAATGCTCATGAGGCAAAATAAGGCCTGCCAATTCATTGCTCAGTACCGACATTCGTCTCTCCACACGGTTATACGCGCTCCGCCCAGGAGCGTTGGTAGCGATGAAAAGAGCATCAAGCTTGAACTTTTGGTAAAGCTGAATTGCACATGAAATGACTCGTGTGTATCGCGGGTTTTCATCTGGGCCACCGTCAGTAGTAATTATCATAACAGGTTTTATACTACCATCATCTGTTTTGACAAGAGGTGTGAAGCTATCCAAATTTAATGCACGCTCAAGATCCGTCGCATGCGTCTCGGCCGTCGACGAGCAATGTTTGCCACTCCGAATTGCGACATACGTTGGCCAGGAGTAAGAAACTGAATTTGGGCATCCCTCGCTGTCTGCTTTGATGACAATTCCCGCGTAGACAGATGGAATTAACTTATGTCGATCTGCAATAACCCAATCGTGATCGGGTAATGAAACTTTGTACTGCAAATGCATAAGCATAGGAGCTTGCTTTTTAGCTGCCGTGAGACCAATAGGAACTCTTGACTTATCATCGGCAGACATAAAAACTGTTTCTGCAGGCCCTAGTACGGATGCCAATGTTTCTAACGCAAGTATCGTTGCATGGCGAAAAGGTCCATCGGGATGTTTGGCATGGTGATCTGCTTCTGGTCGACAGAGTTTTACAGGCACAGTCTTCACGTGCCGTTTGCCCTCTTCTGTATTGCTGCGTCGAGGAAGAACCCGAAGATAAACTCCACTTTTTGAAATTTTAAACCTATCATTCTGTAGCTCTTTGGTGAGATAGTCCAAAGTCTTGCAACTTCTGATTACTGAAATTCAAAAGTTATATCTGTTATATATTGTAAGTTTTGTGCACATAAAAACAAGTCCTAAAATATTAATCAAATGTTGATAAAACCAAAAATCTAATTATTATTTTTATATTTAACTATTTAATATATAATAAACTTAATTTCAATTTACGAAATCTTTATGCAATTATTTATGCTAAATTCAATAAGTTTATTTCAAATTAAGACAAGGAAATAATGTTTATAGTTGAATTTTTTTCTAAAATTGCAAAAAAAACGTACGTTCAGTACGGCGTCGCGGGTCAGCTGCTCCTCCATGTGTAGCAATGTCAATCATTGTTTTTAGCAACTCTGGCTGGTCTACTTCCAGCCTGGGCCTTCCAATCACACCATCTCTGTATTTGTGATCTTTGTTCACTTCAGGAAATTTGTTACATATTTCTTTTAATTTCAAACTTTGTATTTTACGACTTTTTCTTTTTCGTATAGCATCATTAACTTTTTTCTTCAAAGAATTTTCTTCTGCTAAAAGTTCTCTTCTTAATTTAGTTATATGTTTTTCAGTCTTTTCATTTGCAAATCCAATATCTTTTACTTTTGTCAAATTTACAATTTGAGTCTTCAATGTATCAATTCGTTCTTTTAACTTCTCTTGAGATGGCTTGTACACACGACGAGGGGAACGATTGATTTCAGAGTCATGAGCTTCTTTACTTTCAGTCGTTTTCACTGCTGTACAACTTTTTTCTCTTTCATCAATATTATCTACAGTATTTTTATCGTCTGTTGGATCACGTGACTCCTCTAATCCTTTTTTTTTTTGTTAACGTTGTCGAGTACTTCAGATTCTTTTTCGGAATGTCCAGCAGAACATGTGTGTGTATGATTCACTGATGAACTCGTCGATGCATGCTCGGACGATTTCGGTGTTGATTTGAGGAATTTCAGTATAGTCATTGATTTCTTTATTGTCGTTTTATTTTGCAAAGATCGAACTCGTGTTTGCACTTCACGCTCCAAATCAGCAATATCCGGAAATTTATCTTTCAATTCTTTCCATTCAGCATGGAAATCTGTTTGTACATTGCCTTTCGATTGTTTCGGATATGCATCTTTGAATGCTGCCCAAAAATTATTATACAACTCACCAGGAGTAACCATTCCAATAATCTCACGTATTCACTGTGAGTGATTTATTGACGATTGTTGCAGCGTGTGCACACGAAACAAAAGAGTTAATTCTTTATTGAGACAACAACGCTAGAGCAAGTCAGAGCTTCGTCATTTGTGTGTCTCGCGCTTTTGCCATAGATATCGACCTATAATATCGACACGCCGCGCGCGCCGCCTGGACGTTTTTTCACTGTACTGACCCACTCGATCGATTACCACCAAAATTCAAACTTAGTACATACCAAAAAAATCCTTCAGTAAATTTTTTTTCTAATTACTAATATTTTCTGATTTTGATTGATTAATAATTTAAAAGGTTTTAATTATACTAGAAAATGAAAAATATTTTATTTTTTTGAAAAAACAAAAATTAGAAATTACAGTATTTTTAATAGCCAACACAAAATTGTGACCGTCCGAAAATGAAAAAGCTCCCCACTATTTACTGTCACATTCGGCCACATTTTTCTACTTTGACCCTCCCTTTTGGCATCGGACGTCCTTTATGGATGCCCCCCAAAGACTTTCTCTCGTCCTGGGGTTTCTCTCTCTTGGCGCGTCGTCTAGCTTCTCTCGCGCCGTGACCTCATTAGCGTACGGTCACTCTCCAACTGTCCTCAATCTCTCCCGCTCTCCTAATTCTCGTGGCGCGAGCCGCGCTTTCCGCGTTCTCGCCCATTCCTCTTCCTCTCTCGCTCTCTTTCACGCTCTTCGCGCTCTCGCTCCCTCTCGCGCCGTCTTCTCCGCCAGCCGCCCTTTCCCCTCTCCAGGCCCTGCAACGACACGAGCGCATGAATGCTATGTTAACCATAGCCATGCTCGGCCGCTACATCCGTGCGAGGAGAGTGCCTCGCACAGGGTTAGCGAACATCGCTATCAGCCCTATCACAATACTATTACAAAATTGATGGTACAGTTATTATGTTCTTACGTAAATTAAATCATAATGTGAATTTGGCACGAGTGCAAAATTTACTTTTATAATAAACCAATTTTAAAAAGCAGTCCCCAATGCATAAATGAAATATAATTCGGTGTTGCATTTAAAAATTCTAGTTATTCGAAAGATACTATAATAGAAAATTCTAAGAATGTACATACAACTGAGTAACCATCAGTTAATTGTGAACTAATTAATAACCATAAATTGATTGACCATTATTTAATTATTAACATCGTACTAACTAACATAATATTCATTTACAGGGGAAATAGAAATATTACATTACATCTATCATGGAATGTTGTACCAAATGCTGGAATTTTACCAAGTATCGATGGAATAGGATATCGTAATTTTGGTTTTCCTTCTGATTATACAACTTCGCGATTATAGTAAATACAAAATATGAGTATTATTTATTCTATAAGACATTATTGTAAAATATAATAAAAATATCTATACTTCCAGTAGATTCCAGTAATATTACTTATAATAACAATATAGCAATAGTAATCCATTTTTGTAACAAAAGATGAAACATTAATTAGTTTTATAAGTTTATTTTATTTTATAAAACTAAAATTTTTATAGAAATTCTTTTAAGTTAATTACAATTTCCATGAAAACATGAAAAAAAAACAGAAAAATACAGTATCCAGCAAAAATTAATCATAGATTTACAGAAAATTTAATACATTTTTTAAGTTTTGTCAACGCCAGCCATGAATTGATGATAAGATGTACCTGTGCTGTTTGATCTCTTGGAACTTCCAACTTAACCGCTAATTTATACTTTATAATACACGTGCAAAAAAATCTTTTAGTTATGAAAACTAATCCATTAACTTTGATAGTATGTGGCTTCTAAGTTAACGATATAATGTATTGTAATAAAAAAAAATATGAATGATTAATAAAGACATAACTTCGATATATTAGTAAAAGATTTATAATGAGAGTCACCTACAAAATAAGTTCTATGAAGCCTATTATTAACCCTTAACTTGCACACCATTTTGGCCACGTAACTGCTCGGTGGGGTAAATCTAGCCCGAAAAACATCGAATAAATCAGAGAATTTTAGATATTTTGCTATGAAAATTTTTTCTAGTATATTTCAAACCTTTTACTACAAAAAAAATATTCAGGTTAACAATTTTTAATGTTATACACACTGAAAAAAAAAATTTTATTTATTGTTAAAGATTGTCTGGGGTAAATCAACCCCACATAGCAGTTAAGGGTTAAAGTTGTCAAAAATAAGGAGCTAGATATGGTTTCGTGACCTTTTCAAGTAGAATAGTCCAACCAAGGTTTTTCTTATTTATTTTAACCCATTGATTTCAAATTTTATAGGTGCATCGACATCATGGTGACTCAATTCTGGTTAATACATTTTTCAACAATTAGAAGTAAAAATAAGTAAAAATAAGTTGTCAATGAAAAAATCTCGTTTAACACGAATACGGCGCAGTTTATAATTAGTTCAAGCTTGTGTCTTAAAATCACTTATTTTTATTATATTTGGTTCGTTTATTGGGAATGTTAAAATAAATATTTCTGTCTATTCTATATTGTAAAAAAAAGGTCATAAGTCCATTTTTGGATGCGGGTACGGCTAGGTTAATTGTCAGGGCAGGGGCTCCTCTCAGCAGCAATCCAAGATAGGTGTGAGAAATTCAACTTGTCGCGCATCCAAAATGGCGTTAAAACATCAACGCGTTAGCCGCCTTCGTGTAGCCCGATCGCGTTAGCTACGAGGGAATGAGGACGTTTAGAGCGTAGGTCAAATCAATGAGCACAAAGAATTAGTGCGGGAATTCCTATTTATTAATAAATATTAATGCATTTCCCACGGGTCAGCCCAAGGTCGGTCATGTCGTAGGTCTCGGAGAGGGGAAAAAGGGGAAGCAACTAATGGCGTTTGGTCATCGCATCCCCAACACAGTTCGAGCTTCCCTTTGTTCGGCGCAACGAATCTATCCACGGCGGTCTACCCCATCCAAATTCCCCTACGAAGTTCGCGGATGGCGCACCGCGACGCGACCACGGTTTATTCTCGCGGTGGATGCGACTCGGGTCAGAAAGCGATAGAAAAAGGAGTGTTCATTGAAAGATGGCCACGGAAAGGCCCCACGCATTTCTTTTAACGTGCGGGTCAATCGGCCGACGTCGTGGAACTCGCGAACGAGCAGTCAGGCAGCAATTTCGTTGATTGACAAGCGAATCGACGATCGTGGAGGTCAGGTGGCACTTCTGTTAATTCGCGGTTCGGTTAACGATCGCGGAGGTCAGGCGGCACTAGTTAGTTGGATGGCGTTCCGGATCGCGGATGAACGTGAGACAAAGGGAGAAGAGGTACCACTTTTTGGAAGTTTCCTCAACTACAAAGAGGAACGAGTCCTCACTGCTCCTCTACTTTTTATCGGTCCCGCGTCAAATCCGGCTTTTCTCTCGTTCCCTGTAGCTTGCTTCCGCACTTTGGCACTCACGGTCACTCTTTCTCTCGCTTTTTCGTGCTACTCGAGTTCGCGTCTCCAATTCCTTTTTGTTGCGTCCGGTAGCTTTCTATGGCTACCAGCTACTGCTCGGCTTTTCACGGCATCGCCGCGTCTCTCCCGTTCCTCTCCTTTTTCCGTCGCGAGTTTTTATCTGATTGGTCCTAGGTGTCATCAACCCGATCATCAGCGCCGTCTATTTTAACGTTTTCTCTCGCGTAATTTTGCTACTAGTCCATTAAGTAGCGACAGTTTTACTCTATTCGTTAACATGCCCCTATCATATTCGCGATTGGTCCATCAAATCGCGCGCGTTGGTCAGTCTCGCGTCGTTAGTGCTTATCTCTTATCACACGCGCCCTTCCATTCTACCGATCTTTGCTACAAGAGTATTGGTAGCACCCATCTTGCTCACACTCGCACGCTCGATCACCGCTCTTTTGCGCTCGATCGAGCTCTCTTTTGATCGCATCGCAACATGGCCGTCGCTCAGCTCACGCGTTCGCGTCACACCACGTTGCTGCCGTTCCTTCCGCTTCACGGAACGCGCGAGGTCACTCGTGGGTATGTGCGTGTGCGGGGGTGTAAGGGCGGCGCGCATTCAGCGACGGGTCCTGAGACGTCAGGGTGTGCGAGGTCTCGAGGTACTAATATGCGCGTGTGGGCTAAGCGGCATCGACTAATCGTCCGTACGTGTCCTTTCATCGGAAAAGGATCTCGCGCGAGCCCTATAGGTCGGTTTTTCGCGTGATGATGCATCATCACAGATTAAGGACCAACAAATATTTTTGCACATTAAATCGACCGTATTTTAATAGCAATTCTTTATTGTGCAGTTTTAATATCCGCAACCGATTTTTTATCAATAAGTAACATATCTATAATGTGAAAGTACCATAATCTCTATTTGATCTACGGAATATTTTGTACTTATAAACTTAACAGAATATATACTTATAATTTCATATATACGTGTTCATTTTTATTAAATAGAAAAAAAATATAATGAATTTGCTATTATAATAATAAATAACAATAACAATAGCAAACATATAACAAATACTATTATCAATACATGAACAAATTATAAAGTCAAACTTCGCATTTTTTGAAGACTCGTCTTCTTAATCATCTATTTTTCTCTTTTTACTCCTTTGCATTTTCACATTTTTCATATCACTACGCGTACTTTTTTTTCGAACTTTATTAGTTTCAACTTTAGTACTACTTTTTTTTATTTCAAAAAATTGAATAAATCCTGTCATCACTCTGCATAGCTAAAATAACTTTCTTACAATGTGTTTTTATTTACGGCAATCATAAAAAAATGTAGAACAAGTAAAAAACAAATGACATTATTGAAAGAAATTGTAAAAACTGCTACGAAAGTACTGTGCGTAGCAACCGTTTACTTTTAGTTGTTCGTTCTGCATTAAAGGATGCTAAAGAAGCGGTAAAAAAGTTAGGAGGTATAAATAAAATACATATACCAATTCCAATAGCTGTGAGTGGAGCTCTCCTTTTTTTAATTCCATTATTTGCCGTTTTTTTTCATTCAGCATTTGACCACTAAGATGTGCAGAAGTGCCAGCATTGCGTTCTACCCGATAAGTTAATGTATTCGTCAATCAGTAAAGTGACAGATAAATTCAAAATTTAATTTAATAAATTTCAAAAAAAGGAAAGAACGACCAGAATTGCCCACAGTCAGGAGATGACAACACCACTCCTAATAAAAACAACAAAAACTAGAAAATCGTAAGCGATAAAAAACAAGGAAGCAGCCTAAAAAATCAAACTAAAAACTAAAAATGACAGTCTAACGGACTACTGGCTAAGTAATACAAGTAATATAGGGTGTCCAAAAAGTAACGATACACCTGAGAAATTTTCTAAGCCGGTTATTTTTTTAACCGGGTGAAGGTTGTTCTTGAAGTAACTTTTTACGAGGAATCCGATGGTAACCTTGGATTTGACCTTGAACCTCATTTTCAAGGTTATTTTGAGGTCAACCTCATTTTTTTAAATGGAAACCCCTATTTTTTATGGCGGAATCGGAAAGAGCGGAAAATTTTACGTCCAGATATGTATTGAGGTATGAGGTTGAGGTAACCCCTAGAGGTCAACTGGAGGTCAAAGTATGAATTCTTAAAAATCTCGCGAATTCAGTGGTTAAACAAAACAAACAAAAGGATAACCCCAGGTAACTTTCAACGGTGCTCTTTAATTTGTCCTTGAACCTCATTTTCAAGGTTATTTTGAGGTCAACCTCATTTTTTTTAATGGGTACCCCTATTTTTTATGGCGGAATCGAAAAAAGTGAAGACTCTCACGTATGGATGAGTTGAGGTTTGAGGTTAATGTGACCTCTAGGGGTCAGATGAAGGTCAAACTGTGGCTTTGTAATAGTACCGGGATATTAGTGGTACAAGGAAGCAAATAAAGGTCATGGAAACCCCCATTTTCGACAGCGGCAATCGAAAAAGCGGAAAATTTCACATCCAAATATCTACTTAGATCATAAGTCAAGGGCGAACTTAAAGTTTAAGGTCAGTCGAAGGTCATCCAAACTTAAAGACGCCCTAAAATTTTTTAAAGTTTTTTTCATAATGGAGAAGGGTATTTATTTAGTAATTGCCCATCGGAGATCCGTAACCTTGAATTTAACCTTCAACCTCATTATCAAGGTTTTTCAAGATCAATTTTTTTTACTTTTAGCGTTACCCAGGAACAACGACGTGGACGTAGTAAAATCTGTCCCCTTGGGGTGCTTTATTTTCGTGAGTTCCCCTCGCCTCTCACGATCGGGGTGCTTGATTTTCGTGAGTTCCCCTGGCCTTTCACGTATGATTTATCTTACATCAGCACATCTTATTTTAAGTGCTCGAATTGTTCACCGTTCACTTCTTGACAGTAAGCTAATCGGTGGTAAAAAGCATCAACAGCATTTTGGATCATTTCAGTGGGAATGAGAGCTGATTCGTCTATGATCCTTTGACGTAATTCGTCCAAGTTTTGGGGTTTAGTTTTGTATACCCGATCCTATAGATAACCCCAATAGAAATAATCTAAAGGCGTCAAATCGGGGGACCTAGCTGGCCATTCAATTGTGCCTCTCCTTCCTATCCACCGATTATCAAACACCTCATCTAAGTAAATTCGAACGTCTCGTCCATAGTGAGCTGCAGCACCATCCTGCTGATACCATGTATTTTCGAAGTTGTCTCCGACTATTTCTCTAATTGCTGGAACTATTTGATTACGAAGCATCTCTTCATAATTTTGAGCGTTTAAGTTACCATCAATAAAGAATGGCCCTATGATTCGATTATTCACTATTCCAGCCCAAACATTCAACTTCTGCGGATATTGCGATTTATCTTCTCGCATCCAGTGTGGATTTTCCGCAGCCCAGTACCTGCAATT